TTCCGAGTGTTAATATTGTGCTTTTGCGACATATCATTAATGCGATGTGTCATAGATACATGAGTAGCTAGTGGATGCTAGCTAACTACACACAGTGGTAGAAGGGTGCTCCAAAACTTCGTTTCACATACGGAAATTACTATTGCTACTTTATTTTGGCGTTTATGTTCTAACTCGCACGTCAAGCTATCATATTAAAGCAACAGGGCCTATGTTTCAACGTGCGTGGCGGCGAGGGAGCATTGCCTTCAGCGAACGCGTCCCTCGCGCGTCGACTTCGGAGAGTCACATGTTTTTAATGTTACTATATATGGGCATGACTCGCGAACTTCCGAGAAGTCCGTTCGGTCACTAGTCACGATGACCGACAGTGTCGGTCACTGGCGGTCACGGTCATTCTAAAATGACCGACACGCCCGGTCATCGCGTGGCATTCACTGCCGTGGGAGGACGCCGCTCGGCAAACCAAGCCGAGATCGGCCACCTACTCAACATACGCGTACTAGGTAACAAGACACGCCGAGCTACGCTCCGGCACTTTCCATCGAAGTTAACAAAGGGCTCTCACACCACTACAATATATCACAATTTGCCCGAGGGCTTAGCTGAGGACAAAAATGCATGGTGTAATTGCACGTATAACTGGCAAAGTATCAGTACATAGTTTTCTATATGTTCGGGATTTGTTCGGGATGAACACCGCAGGCGTGATTAAAGAGGAAATTCCCATCATATCAAAACGTCAAACAAAGGTCACCAAAGCCTACCATAATTTTGAACATACGAGTTATTGCGCCTGAGACAATCTGAAAATTCAACAGAAATAACCTACGATGAATATGTTGGAAATACGATACGATCATGTTCGTAGTTACGAGCATCAGTCCATGCAATTCACGTACCTGCCAGCGCTTGCAGCGCTTATCTTATCTCTTCCGTGTTATCTAGCCTGTTTTAGTACATCGGTAGCTATCATGTCGCTGTACTTATACCCGTCTTTCTCGAATTGATAACGCTGCGCGTTTGCCAGCAATTGTCGCCCACATTTGCCTTCGAAATTCCAACAGAATAGACTGTAGTGATTGAGTAGTATGCACCTCCACATAAACGCGTCGGAAACATACTGTGGCTGTATGCGGAAAGGGAATGAGAGCGATATAAGCCGCATACTAAAGATACCATGGGGGAGTGATCGAGACGGCAGTTAGCTGGGTTTCACCCAAGAGGTAGAGGCGCCGCGGCTCCCGGACTGACCAGGAGCCCGAGAATATCATGGATTACGTGGAGCGGACTACAATACATGACAAATAACCCGATATAAGTAAAACGAGCGAGATAGGACTCGTCGCAACACGTCGGATTGGCATGCAGGGGCGCGTACATCGGACATGCAGACCGACGGTCCCGATTAGACTTGTGAAAACAGTAATACGTAGAAAAGTACGTATCGTTTCGAAGCCTAACACAGGACAGGCAGGGGTATAAGTAAGCTGCGACATCACTGAATGGTATGGGCCTGCAAGCAAAATGTGTACCGGCATCATTGTACGCCTTGCAAAACGGCTGTCTATAGCAGTACCGGGCGTGCCAGATATACAACAGTCCCCGCTGACGCAACCAGGACACCCAGAGGCGTGCTTCAGACGTGGGCACGAGCTCGCTAAACGTGGGGTGCCAGTCTACACCTGCGGACGAGCGGTGAGAGTAAAGGTTTGGTCATGGTTAAGCCGCCCAAGGCGCCTGGGGTAAGAGAGGGCGCGCCGGGAGACGGGACTGACGAGTTCGGGTCTGTAATGGATACTTTTATCGGTGGGGAATGGTGTTCAAGCGAGGGCGTACCTGCATACTCTACATGTGAAGGGAGGACGGGGGCGTTAAAGGGAAAGTCGGGAGTAGGAATAGAGATGTTGAGATCACCAATACAGAGTCAGGAAGAGTGCTATCGTCATCTGTGAGCAGGTATCCGTGAGTTCATAGCCCAAAAGCGATGGAGGTGTGATACGCACTTAAAGCTGCTCCATGGTCCTGGCGGGGCTGAAATAAGCGAGTGTCGACGATGGAGAATTTGAGCGACGTACCAGCTCTGCGGATGCGGGGATCCTCGGTGCGAAAACGGGGAGGGGAAGAGGGGAGGAAAGGATGGCGACGAAGGAAGCGCTAGGTCAGGTCCATTATCTTATCAACGGAAGTATGACCCAAAAAGGGCGAGGATGTCCAGATCGAGAGCGAATCTCATCTGAAGGGGATCTCATCAACACCACAAACAAAGAGCCAAATAAAAGCGGGCAGAAATTTTGAATATACGAGTA